GGACTGCCCCACACCACTACCACTTGAACATTTAATGTCATTTACTAAAAGGAAATATTGAACCTAGGTGTGATGGTGCACACCTATAATCCCAACACTCTGGGAGGCTGAAGCAGGAGGATCCCAAATTCCTGCCCAGCCTGGTCAATTTAGCAATTTATCAAGACCCTTTTTCAAAAATGTGTTTATTTCTTTATTAAGAGACAGGGTCTTGGGCCAGGGATATAGCTTAGCAGCACAGGGACTGCCTGGCAAGCACAAGGTCCTGAGTTTGATTCCTGGTACCAAAAAATAGAGACAGGGTCTCACTCTGTAGCCCAGATTAGCCTCAAATTTGCAGTGATCCTCCTGCCTCAATCTCCAAAATGCTGGAATTTGGGATTACAGGTATGTGTCGTACATCTGTCCCTCCCCTTTTGAGGCAAGGTCTGATTTAGTCCAGGCTGGCCTTCATCTCACTATGTAGTACAGGGTGACCTGGATCTTGAAATCCTTCTGCCTCAGCCTTCTGAGTGCTAGAGCATGTACAACCATACACAGCAGGAAATCTAACTTTTAAGTGTTAATTTTATTTTTTGCCAATCATATTTTATTGGTACATTTTAAAATTATATTTTATTGATACATTTTAGATATACACAATGATTATATTCATCATAGAGAATTTATACTTGTACATAATACAAATTGATTCTTTTTTCCCATTCCCCTACCCTCCCTTCAACCCCTCCTCCCCACCCCATTTACAAAAACTTTGTTTCCATTTTTCCCTTCTTTACTCATCTCTCTCTCTCTCTTTCTCTCTCTCTCTCATTTATTCATTTTTTAATACAAGGTATTTCTATGCAGTTCAGGCTAGCCTTGAGTTCACTTTGTAACCCAGGTTGGTCTCACACAAGGATCCTCATGCCTCAGCCTCCTGAGTGCTGGGATTACAGGCATTCACCACCACACCTGGCTCCTTTTTTAAATGGTAATTTTTATTTTATTTTATTTTTGTCTTTTTGAGACAGGGTCTCACTATCCAGTTCAAACTGGCCTTGAACTCACTTTGTAGCTCAGGTCGGCCTCACACTCACAGTGATCCTCCTGCTTCAGACTCCTGAGTGAAGTGCTTATTTTATTTTATTTTATTTTATTTATTATTGTTATTTTGGGGGGTACCGGGAATCGAACTCAGGACCTTGTGCACTTATGCCAATGAGCTATATCCCTGGAACTTAAGTGCTATTTTTAAAAAGACAACTTGCAAGTGTAGCAAAGTTGTCATCCCCTGATGCAGAGTTAAAGGGGACAGAGCTGGAGGCAGAGAAAGGTGGAAGAAGATGGAAAACAAAAGACACAGAAGAGTCAGAACAATTTTATCTTGGCCCCTGTGTGACACCTAACAGTTTGGTAACCATTTCTCATAGACGTGGCCTTTGCTGCACCATTTCCAAGTGGTGGCACCTGGGGTAAGTTACCTCAGCTTCTCTGGGCTTCAACCTCCCCACCAGCAAAGTAGGAAAAGATTTGTGCTCACTGCATGGGATCACCCTTGCATGTTAAATGAGCTAAGAAACAGAAGGCACTTGGAAACATCTGAGAAAACAATCAAATTAGACATATTGGCCAGGCATGGTGACATGCATAATCCTAGCACTTTGAGAGGCTGAGACAAAAAGATGACAAATTCAAGCCCACCCTGGATAATTTAGTGATTTAAAAATACCCTGTCTCAAGATTAAAGAAACAGGGCTGGGGATTTAGCTCAGCAGCGTAAGTGCCTGCCTTGCAAGCACATGATCGTGAGTTCGATCCCTGGTACCAGTAAAAAAAAAAAAAAAGAAGAAGAAGATTAAATAAACAATAAATAAAAAGAATTGGGCTAGAAATGCTGCGCACACCTGTGTTCCCAGCATTTGGAAGCCAAGGCAGGAGGATCACTACAAGTTTAAAGGCAGCCTGGGCTATCAGTCTGAACTATATAAGAAGACACTATCTCAAAATAATTTAAAATAAAGGGAGGATGTACTGGGGTTGTGTGGCAGCACAGAAGCCCTGGGTTTTAATCCCCAGTACCACTCCCCTTCTTCTTCCTCCTCCTCCTGATAATAATAATATGTAATAAAAAGGTCTAGTTAGCTGGGTGTGTTTGCTGACACCCATAGTTCCAGCTACTTGGGAAGCTGAGGCAAAAGGATTGCAAGAGCAAGGCTAGTGTCAGAGATTTAGCAAGACCTTGTCTCAGAATTGAAAAAGAGCTAGGGGTGTGTCTCTGTGGTAAAGCACTTGCCTGGCATGTGCAAGGCTTCATGAGTTCCTTCCACACATTGCTGCATGTCTGGTTTGCTCCAGGTATTTTGCAGGGAGACTGCTTAGTGAGCAGTGTTGAAATGAGCAAATGCAATGGCTTTGTAAAAATGTGTATCTACATTTTTTTGGTCTCTTTGAGACAGGGTCTCCCTATGCAGTTCAGGCTGGCCTTGAGCTCACTTTGTAGCCCAGGCTGGTCTCGAACTCACAACGATCCTCCTGCCTCAGCCTCCCGAGTGCTAGAATTACAGGTGTGAGCTACCACGCCTGGTTTGTATCTATATTTTATATTTGTTTATTTAGTTTTGTGATGCTGAAGATGGAATCCAGAGCTTCACACATGCAAGCCAAGTGCTTTACTTCTGAGTGGCACCTGCGGCCCACAGTCTTTTTGGGAAGGAGGGCAGAGCCTGACTAAATTGCCCAAACTCACCTCAAACTTACCATCCTCCTGCCTCAGCCTCCTGAGTAGTTGGGATTTCAGGCATATGCTACCACACCTGGCTACAAGGTGTTTTTGTTTTGCTTTGTTTTGTTGCTGTTTTGGTTTTTTTCAGACAAGGTCTCCCTGTGTAGTTGTCTGGCCTTGAACTCACAATGTAGCACAGACTGGCCTCAGACTCTTGGTGATCCACCTGCTTCAGCTTCCCAAGTGCTGGGCTTACAGGTTTGTACCACCATGGCTCCACAGTGGTTTTTAAGGCCATGTAGGAGCTGGCCCTCATCAATAGTTGGAAAGTGAGTTGATAAGTGTCCCTGGCCTGGGGGTATGAAATAGCTTGCTAAATTTCAGGCACCCTAAGCTGAGATGAGGATGAGGCGGGAGAAAGTTGCAGCTGCCACAGGGCATGGGACATGGAGCTTGGGCACAGGAGAGGCTTTGAATCAGCGGGCATGGCCTCTGAGGGGCTTGCCCTGGAGGCACACTGGTCTGTTCAGGACGTCAACCATGTCAGTCACATATCAGTCACACTCCAGACCTGTTCAGCACCCAGACTGACTGCTCTCCTGGACTTGAGAGCCTCCTGTCTCCAAATGGCCTACCTGTGTGTGGCAACCAACACTGCAGCATCACTCCAACAGCAATAGCCGCAGGTGGCCCCGGATCTGCTGGTGGGAAACCCCTTCACAGCATGAGACACTGCATAGCACTGACAAAAACCAATTACTGCTACAGGCAAATAGGAATCAAAATAGGACAGAAGGTGTAGAAGAGATGGACAAAAATGTGTGCTCTGCACTCCATCTCTCTTGGGCTTGCAATCAGGTGCTCTGCAGCTGGCATGGTGGCACACGCCTGTAATCCTAGCACCAAGAAGCTCAGGCAGGGAGATTGTTGCAGTCTTGGCTACAAAATGAGCTCAAGGCTAACCTAAACTGAATAGTGAGACCCTGTCTCAAAAAAACCCACTAAAATAAGACACATAATAGTGTATAATCTATAAAGCCAATGACGGTGAACATTTTAGAGCATTCAGTGATACAAACAGGCTACTGGGCACCCATGCCATTGGTGTGCCATCACTGCTATAGGATCTTAGAAGGTGTTCGAAGGTCTAAAGTCTTTTTAGGACAAAGGGGTTAGAACAGTGGCTGACACATGCATTGAGTGCTACATGAATGTTAAGATAAAAGTAGAGGCACTGAAAGTATAGCTCTGTGGTATACCACATGCCAAGCATGCACAACACCCTGGGTTCAAGTCCCAGTACCACAAAAGAGAAAGGAATATAGTAGAATGCCAAGTTTGAGCTCAGCCTGAGCAATGTAGCAACTTATCAAGATCTTGTCTCAAAATGTAAAAATTAAAAGTAACGGTTAGGGATAGGATATAGTTCAGTAAGAAGGCCTCAGATTCATTCCCACTACAACAAAACAAATGAACAAACTGATAAATAAATGGCTGGGGATGTAGCTCTTTGTGAAAGCTCTGGGTTCAATCTTTGATATAAGAGAGAGAGAGAGAGCGAGAGAGAGAGAGAGAGAGAGAGAGAGAGATTGAGGAATTAATTTGGGAGCTATAGGGAGGCAAAGATATGGAGCTGTAAGTCTTGTGCTTAAACTGTAAACTGTTGCAATGTCAGGGGTTCAGAGTAGGGACGGTCTCCGTAATTTTATTTATTTATTTTTATTTATTTATTTATTCATTTAACTTATTTGTTTTTTTGAGACAGGGTCTCACCATGTAGTACAGGCTGGACTTCAAACTACTATGTGGTCCAGGCCGGCCTTAAACTTAGTGATCTTGCTGCCTCAGCCTTCTGAGTGCTGAGATTATAGGCCTATGACATCACACCTGCCTGGGGCTCTGTAATTAAAATGAAAAGCTGCTACAGCAACCCTTCCTGACTTGGTCTTGGTCCTGTGCCCCCCCCTTGCCCCAGGCTACCTGGGTCCTTAGGGCAGGAAGCAGACCAAGGGCCCTTTGACTGCTCCCTGTGGCACCAGCTCTGCAGAAGTGCCCAAGATGGCTCAGCTCTCTCACTGCCAGCAGGAGGCAGGCCTGAGGCAGCAGAAGAATATGGGCCCAAGGAGTCAGAAAGAGGTGGGAAGCCAAAGCTAGTCAAGAAGGGATTAGCCAGTCAAGTGGAGGAGAGCCTCAACCTGAAGGAGGAGGGCTTGAGCCTGTCCCAGGGAGGCGGAGGCCAAGCCCACTGCAGGCCCCGAGGACTTGTTTCCCTTGTGGCTTTTTGCACTTCCTGTTCCCTTGCTCACTGCGGAAGTTCCTCTTCTTTACCCTGCACCCGGAGCCTAGGCAGAGAGGACAAGGACTGAAGAACCATGAGTGGGGGCCCTGTGGGAGGCAGGCCTGGGTCCCGAGCAGGAGCGGCTCAGAACATTCCTTCCAGCCTCCTGCAGGACCATGAGAACCAGCGCCTCTTTGAGATGCTCGGCCGGAAATGCTTGGTGAGCTGGGGCTTGATCTCCAGGCTCCTTCCCTTTTCTCCTTGTCCTCTCAGCCCCTCCTCTTCCCCATCCCTCCCCCCTCCTCCTCTTTCTTCCCATCCTTTCCTACTCCTTTCCCTCTCCTTCATCCCATCTTCTAGGACCCACTTACCACTGGTCCGCCATACCAGGAAGATCTCTGCATCTCTGGCCTTCCCTTTTGCTACAACTCTACCTCCAGGCCTATGATTGCCATGGGCAAGAAAGGCCTAGGCCTGGCTTCTCATCCCTCAGGCTACCCCTGAGCAGACTCCACTGACCCTACTCTCCCCGCAGACACTGGCCACTGCAGTTGTTCAGCTGTACCTGGCGCTGCCCCCTGGAGCCCAGCACTGGACCATGGAACACTGTGGGGCCGTGTGCTTTGTGAAGGACAACCCACAAAAGTCCTACTTCATCCGTCTTTATGGCCTTCAGGTAACCCTGTGGCCCACTGTGCACACAAGGCTGTTCTCTGTGCTGCCCCCATGCAAATCTGTGTCCATAACCCTGACCCTTCAGACAGATAGTAAACCCCTAAGCCCCAGAACCAAAGAGCCATCCAGATCCAAACTCTGCCTTGCCTTTCTAGGTCTGAGGCAACCCGCCCCAGGTTTCCATGGCAAGATCTCTATATACCCAAACAGTAATATACTCCTAAGTCTAATGTGTTTCACAAACAAAAAAAGAAAATAAAGAGTACTGTAATTGTGCCTCAACTTCAAATCCGTTCTGAACACAGCATTTTAAATGTATCTGGGACCAGAATTCTAAATTCTGAAATTTGAACCCCCAGGTAACCACATCTAGGGTCCTGAACCCCCAAGCTAAGCCTCTCCATCCATACCCCAACCCTAGACATCTGACACCTAGACCACCAACTATTTGATGCTGAGTTGAAAATTTCCAGATCAGACCCTGGGACCCAAAACCTGGCCATCACACCCCAGAACCTGGTCATAGACCCCAGTGTGCCTCAGTGTCAGTGTATCCCCATCCTCCCCAGGCTGGCCGGCTCCTCTGGGAACAGGAGCTGTATTCACAGCTGGTCTACTTGGCTCCCACGAGCTTCTTCCATACCTTCGCGGGAGATGTAAGTGGCCTAGGGTCTTTGGGCCTTCACTGGGGTGTGAGGAGGAGAGAGGAAAGGTAGGGGGCCTGGGAGACTGCTGACCCCAGGGCATGTGCAGGACTGCCAGGTGGGGCTGAACTTTGCTGACGAGGGCGAGGCCCAGGCCTTCCAGGCCCTGGTGCAGGAGAAGATACAAAAAAGGAATCAGAGGCAAAGTGGAGGTGAGGAGGCTTTGGGGGAGGATAATGGTTGGGACAGTGAGTGTATGGATGGGGAACTAGAGAAGCCCTTCTTATGGCTCTGAATCTACCTGTCTAGTCACAGATAGACGCCAGCTACCACCACCACCACCACCAGGCAATGAAGGTGAGTCCTTTAATGCAGATGGGGCAGTAAGGGCCTGGCCCAGGAAACTGGCAGGGTTATGAGAACTCCTGACCCATTCCATCTTCCCAGAGAGAAGAGGAGGGCTCCCACCTCTGCCCTCACATCCAAGCGGGGACCAAGGGGGTGAGTGGTGATTCTTTCCTGTGTCTCTTGATGGATGGATTGGTGAAGGGAGGGTGGTTGGATGGGTAGTTGGCTGAGTACATGACTGGGTGAAGGGTTGGGTGGATGGATGGGTATGCAGACATATTGATGGATGGGTGAGTGAATAGACTGGTGGAAGATGGATAGTTACATGGAAGGATGAACTGATGGGAAATTGAAAGTATGAATAGATGCACAGATCTATAGGTAGGTTATAGGTAGATAGGTGAATACATATGTGGATAAACACATGGATGGATCATTCAGTAAACGAATGGACAATGATATATGACAATATTCTAGTCAGTGAAATGATTAAATGAATGACTGAATTAGTGAATAAATCATTTAACAAACTAATCAGTCAACAAGTCAGGGAACAAATGAGTAAATACTGTAGTGATTAGCATGAGTGAATTAATAAATGAATAAATCCATGAATGCATGCATCGTCTTTGACATCTGCCCATATCTCCACAGACCCTTAGATTCCTCCCTCCTTGCATAGCAATTAAACAAACTCCTCCAATTGCCTTCACAGTTCTTGTTCTTGTGCTTTGGCCAGTAGGGATGGGGGGTGAGCAGCCCATTTGTCCTGTATTCTCCACAGGCCCATCAGCTGGCTCCGTGTCCTTGGGGCTACTCACAGTGGACATCCACAACCCTGACATCACAAGTTCACGATATCGTGGGCTCCCAGCACCCAGTCCTAGCCCAGCTGATAAGAAACGCTCAGGGAAGAAGAAGATCAGCAAGGCGGACATTGGTGCACCCAAGGATTTCAAGTGAGAACCCTTCCCCTGTGAGCCCCTCAGGCTAGCAGAGGATACAAAAAGGTGCACGGTCAGGCATGGTGGCACATATCTGTAATCCCAGGACTTGGGAGGCTGATGCAGGAGGATCACTGCAAGTTTGAAGCCTGCCTGGGCTACAAAGTGAGCTCAAGGCCAGTCTGAACTACATAGTGAAACCATGTCTCAAAAAAAAAAAAACCCACCAAAAAAAAGGTGGACAATCTCGTGCCAAGAGGGAGGCCAGATTGGTGGGTGGGCAACTGGACAGGTGAATGGGTGAGTTAGTGAGTGAATGGGTTGAAGTATGGGGTTGAATGCGTTAGGAAAATGAGTGGATGGATTGAAAGGTGGGCACATGGGTAGATAGATGGGCAGATGGACTATGTGAAATCAGGTTGGTGGACAAATGGGTAAACATATGTGTGTGAGTAGCTGCCTGGAGGGATGGATTTATAGGCAGATCAGTGGTTTATGAATGGATAAGTAAACAAAAATTGGGTGGTGGATGATGGCAAGAGGGACAGATGACCACATTGGGGCCACAAATTTTGGGCCCTTTCTAGTCCTGTAACTGTGCCTCCACTCATTATCTCTTTTGGACTCATTCCCTCACTTAGTTCCTGAGTCCCCCTGGGCAGGAGCGGGCAGGGGGGCTTCCTTAGGAAGGGAAGATAGTGGGTTTCACTGGAGTTTCTTCCCCTCCTCCAGACATGTCAGTCACGTGGGCTGGGACCCCCAGAATGGATTTGACGTAAGTAGTCCCAAAGGCCCCTGCACGCGGTTCACCTCCGTGCAGCCCTTCCAGATTCCTACTCAAGACTCCATCCCCAGACCCTGCCTTTCTCACTTCCCTCAGCCGGGGTGGGATGGACCCATTAATAATCCCTGCCCTCCCATTGTGCCTTCATGCTACACCCCTTCCTGGCAGGTGAACAATCTAGACCCAGATCTTCGGAGCCTCTTCTCCAGGGCGGGAATCAGCGAGGCCCAGCTCACAGATGCAGAGACTTCCAAACTCATCTATGACTTCATAGAGGACCAGGGCGGACTGGAGGCAGTGCGGCAAGAGATGAGGCGGCAGGGTGAGTCCGATTCTCCTTCAGCAGCTCTGATATCCATACCTTTTAGATACACTGAAGTCTCTCCATGTGTCTAGAAAGCCCTACGCTGCACAGTAGAAAAGGACAGGACCAACAGTTGTGTGTTTTCTCCTGCAGAGCCACTTCCACCACCCCCACCGCCATGCCGAGGAGGGAACCAGCCCACCCGGCCCCCTGTTGTGGGGGGTAACAAGGGTCGTTCTGGTCCACTGCCCCCTGTACCTTTGGGGGCTGCCCCACCGCCACCGACTCCCCGGGGACCGCCTCCCCCAGGCCGAGGTGGCCCTCCACCACCACCCCCTCCTGCCACTGGACGTTCTGGCCAACCTCCCCCACCACTCTCTGGAGCTGGGGGGCCACCCGTGCCACCTCCACCGCCAGCACCACCACTGCCACCAACCAGCACCGGGGGCGGGCCAGTTCCTCCCCCACCCCCTCCCACTCTAGGGTCTGGGGGAGGCCTGGCCCCTGGTGGGGGTCGGGGGGCACTTTTGGATCAAATCCGGCAGGGAATTCAGCTGAACAAGGTGAGAACCAGGAGGATGGAAAACTTGGGGTCTGTGACTCAGGGATGTTCTGTGCAAATCAGGATATTGCGGGGGCTGAGGCCAAGACTGACAGGGGTGTCATGCTTTGGGGGTTCCGTGATAGGGTTGGGAGATTTGTGGGGACCCTTGCCAGAGATTGGAGTGTGTGGAAGACGAAATGCTCTTCTGGTAAGCCTGACCCCTTTGCACCCAACCCTGCTGACTTGCAGACGCTCGGAGCCATGGAGAGTGCAGCTGTACAGCCCCCACCACAGAGCTCAGATGGTCTGGTGGGCGCGCTCATGCACGTGATGCAGAAGAGAAGCCGTGTCATCCACTCCTCAGGTGAGTCTGTCCTGCTGAGACCTGCACTGGACCCCTCTGACAGCCCTGTTTGAAAAGGGCCAGATCCACTAGCAACTGCATACTTGCCTGGCACTCCCTTTTTTAGTGTTAACATTATTGTTTGACAATAATGTAATTTGGCTTGATAATAATAACATTAAAGCCAGGCATGGTGGCTCATCCCTGTAATCCCAGCACTTGGGAGGCTGAGGCAGGAGGATCCTTGCAAGTTCGAGATCAGCCTGGGCTACAAAGTGAGACCAAGGCCGGCCTGAATTGCATAGCGAGACCCTGTCTCAAAAAGACAAAAAAATAACGTTAATGCCAAGGTATGTCCACAATATTAACATTAGTCCCACATGTTTAGTATTATTAACATTAGCCCACTGTGTCATGATATTTATTTATTTATTTATTTTATTTTATTGGTACTAAGGATGGAACTCACAACCTTGCGCATGCCATGTAGGCACTTGTGCCTCTGAGCTAAGTCCCTGGCCCTGTCATCATATTTATAAAGAACCCTATCTTGTTTTGTTTTTGTTTGTTTCTCTCTTTTTTTTTTTTTGAGATGAGGGCTTGCTCTATAATTGAGGCTAGCCTTGCACTCACTATGTAGCTCCGGCTGGCCTTGAACTCATGGAAATTTTCCTGCTTCAACCTCCCAAGGGTTAGGATTATAGGCATGCACCAATGCATCACCATGCCCAACTAAAGAACCTTATCTTCATAATAATATTAACTTTTTTTTGGTACTGGAGATTGAGCCCATGTCCTTTGTACTGAGCTATATCCTCAGCCCTTCTGTACATTTTTTCTTTGAGACAGGGTCTTAATATGTCATTCAGTTGCCCAGGTTGGGTTCAAATTTATAATGCTCCTGCCACAGCCTCTCAGAGTTCTGGGATTACAGGTTTATGCAACCACATCTACCTAATGTTAATTTTAACTCTGTGTGTCAACACATTTAATTTAACAAATTGTTATTTGATAGTAATATTATAACTCAGTCTTTTTATAATAATGTTAATGTTAATCTTCTAATGTACCAATAATATCATCCTCAACTCATTATATGATTTAATATTGATCTCAACCTATTATGTTACAATAATACACTTCAACTTTGACAGTAATATTGCCATTAATCTTATGGACACAGTGTGTCCATAGATTAATATGAATCCATTACATGACAATATTATTAACAAATCTCATTTTCTTGTTTTGAGACAAGGTCTCATTATGTAGTTCAGGCTGGCCTTGAACTCACTATGTAGTCCAGGCTGGACTCAACCTGATCCTCCTGAATCAGCCTCTCGAGTGCTGGGATTAGAGGTGTGCACCACCAAGCCTGGCCAGTTCCCAACTGTGATCCCTATTTTGCCCCCACTTCTCCCTTTAATGGGAGATTTCAGCCTCCGAGGCTATGGGTCCTCATCCCCAAGAACCCCTCCCTCTTCCATCCATTCTGAGTCACCTCCGTGTCTTTCTTTCCAGACGAAGGAGAGGACCAGGCTGGAGATGATGATGAAGATGACGAATGGGACGACTGAGCTACACCTGGGCCCCTCCCCTCAGGCCAGTGGCTCTCACTGTGCCTGCTCCGCTCCTACCCCTGCCTCAGGCTGAAGTCCACTGCAGCTTCCAGGCCCCACCTCCAGTGCTGTCACTTGCAACTGTGCCCCATACTCAACCCTAGCATTCCTGGGGGCCCTTTTTAAACAACATTTCCTAGTTCTCTTCATGCAAGGATTTTAAGACAAAAATAAAATAATTGTCCTTTAGTCTGTTAAGTCTGGATTTGCTTACATTGCAAGTGTGGAAATTTGGGGTCATTTACCCCTAAAGTCCCTTTTATGCATTTATCCCATTTTATTTAGTCATACATGTATATGTTCACTCACTCATTCATTTATTCTTTTACATTCTAAGTCATTTAGCTTTTCTTTTCTTTTCTTTTGTCTTTCTGAAGGGGTCATGCTATGTTGCGTAAGATGGCTTGAACTTCCCAGCTCAAGCATTCCACAAATATTTCTGCAAACCAGGTACTATCTCAGGGGGTAGGGTGAAATGGGCATTCTGGGGGAAGAGACCAGACAAGGCACAAGAAATCAAAGATAGTGAGCTGGGCATGCTGGTACACACCTATAATGCCAGTGCTTGGGAGGCTGAGACAAGAGGATGGCTGATAATTCGAGGCCAGTCTGGGCTCAAATAGTGAGTTCAAGGCCAGCTGGTCTACATAGTAACAAACAAAAACAAATAAAGATAGCTACATATCATGGCAAATGCTATGGAGTGCTGAGGCAGAGATAAGGGAGCAATGACATTCCAATGGAGCAATCAGTGAAGGGCCACTTGGAGGAGATGACAGCTGTAGGGGACCTAAAGACAGATGTGTCGGCCAGGGGAGTAGCCATACAAAGGCCCTAAAAGCTTAACATAGGCTGGCAGTGTAGCTCAGCAGTACAGTGCTTGCCTAGCATGTGGGAGGCCCTGGGTTCCATCCCCAGTACCATACACAAAACACCTGGCATGAAGCTGAGAGTGATAAATGAGTAAATCATTTATTCATGTGCACATGTGAAGTATTTTTCAGTGGACACTATACAAGATCAAGAGCACACTCAATGGTCAGACCTCCCTACTCTTTGTGCAAACCAGGACCCTGATGGGCAAGATATCCCTCTCAATTGCAAAAGTCAGCTGTGCCCAGTTCCCAGAACAAAGCAAGCACTGACCAATTGCAATGGAAGTCGCAAAGATTTAATCACCAGCTGGGCACACTGGGGCACATCTGTAACCCCAGCACTCGGGAGACCAAAACAGCCTGGGCTACACAGTGAGACCCTGTCTCAAAAACAAATAAAAAATAGGTAGAGCATTCCACCAGTACTGAAAAAAAAAAAGAAAGAAATGGGCCAATCAGGGAACTTGCTCAGTCCTGTTTTTCATTTTGTTGCTTTTTGCACTGCTGACAATGGAACCTGGAGTCTTCCACATGCTGATCCAGTGTGCAGACAACTGTTTTACCCCGTTTGTGAGGGGGAATCCAGAGCCGGTTGCAAGATCAGTGGAAGACCTTTTGAACCATCAATTTGGAAAGGGCACAGTGCTTGGAGGGAGAAAAACCAGTCAGATATAAATATTTGAAAAAATGTTCAGCATCACTAGTCATTTGAAAGGTGCAAATTAAAACAATCCTGAGAGTCCATCTCACTCCAGAAAGAATAGCTATCATCAAAAAATCAAGCAATAACAAATGCTGACGGGGGAAATACGGACCCTTCACTGTTGGTGGAAGGGTAGACTAGTGCAACCACTGTGGAAATCAGTGTGGAGACTCCTCAAAAAAACTAGGGTTGGAGGTTCCATTTGACCCAGTTATTCAGGTACCTTTCCAGAAGAATTAAAAACTTCATACCACAGCAATATATGTGCACCCATGTTTATAACAGCACGATTTTTAATATATTGATTTTGGAAACAACCTAAGTGTCCATTGACTGAGGAATGGATAAAAAGACGTGGCATTTTTATACAATGGAGTACTACTTGGCCATAAAGAAGGATCAACTAGAGACTTTTATAAGTAAATGGATGCAACTCAAAACCGTATTTATAAGTGAAATAAATAAGACACACATGTGGAAACATCTTATTGTCTCCCTGGTGTGACAAGCTAAAACAGTAAATAAGATCCAAAATGTACAACAGATATTGTAAAATGGAAAGAAACTGTTCAAAAGGAAAGAGAAAGTGGGATGGGTGGAAGGAGAAAAGCAGGGAGGGAAAAGCAAGTAACATATATACACATATACATATATACACATAAGACACTTGTATTACTAATTCCTCTTAGTTCATGGAAAAGAAAGGTTTGTGCTAATATTGTTTGGATGATTAAATGCCTATATCTTGTACTCTGAGTAACTAAAGCTAACAATACACACTATATTAACCATTGTCACCAGCCTACTGTTTTGAAATTTCTTCTTTAAAAAAATAAATTATGGGGCTGGGGATTTAGCTCAGCGTCATAAGTGCCTGCCTGGCAAGTTCGAGGTCATGAGTTTGATTCCCGGTACCACAATAAATAAATAAGTAAATTATGACTTGCTAGGACTTGGAAGATATAGGCTGGTTTCAGAGATATTAAAACATTAAATGTTTCTTAATGTCTGCATTCAGATTTCAGGTGTATATTCCCTTGTGAAAATTCAGCACACTGTATCCCCATGGTCTCTATACCATTCAGTGTGTATGTTACAGGCCAATATGCAGTTTTCACACATCAAAACAGTCAAACCTATGCACCTTTTGATGGATAAAATCATGTCTTGTCCCCAGCATTAGGCAAACCAGACACATGCTGGATAAACAGACACATGACTGGAATCTAGTAACAGGGTGACATTTTTATTTTAAGATCTCCTGAAAAAGGTACTAGTCCAAAAAAATTCACTCTCCAAATGAATGAGAGACTAACCCCTTCATGAATGAAGAAAATGCCCAATGCCACTCTATACAGTAAAATGTGGAGTTGGGATTTGACCCAAGTGGTCATTTTCCAGAGTCCAGGCCTTTGCTCTAACTATATTATTACACTATTTGGGAAAGGTCAAGGGTTTCTCTCCACTACCCACAGAGCCCTCCATCTACCAAATCAAGGACAGTAGAGGTTTCATCTTAAATCATTTTCTTGGTTTGGACAGCCTCTGGGACTCCAAGGAGCAGGAACTCAATCCCTCCAGAGAGGCTGCACGTGAGGGAGGAACAGCATCTGACAGTTCTACAAGGAGTAAGGGAGGGAAAGGGTTACACGGTGGCACTTAACACAGATGAACATGGCCAGCAGGAATTGATGGAACCTCAGTGACAAGCCATTTTCTTCATCTGGATGAAAGCAGACACAGTATCTGGTTAACTGTGTGAGTTTTGGTTGACTATAGCTCACAGAATGACAGCAAGAGGGGCAGTTTGAGAGATCAACAGTGCAATTTCCTGATGCTGTGAGGCTCTCACCTAGGACTGGCTGGACTGATGGCCTGACAGTGAAGAAGACAGGCAGCCTCCTGAGGGCGTTACTGGTGACCTGTGGTATTCCTGCTGGGTAGGGGCCAGGGTGTTGTAATGAAAGACTGGGGACTGGGGATTTAGCTCAGTGGCATAAGCACCTGCCTTGCAAGTGTGTGGTCGTGAGTTCAATCCCCAGTACTGATAAAAAAACAAAAAGACAAAAAAAAAAAAGAAAAGAAAAGAAAAGAAAGACTGATGCTAGAAATTGCCCCTGGCCTGAGAGAGGAACTGTTTGGATGTTACCCTGTATGGCCCTATGTGAGCAAAGACTAAACTGAAGGAATTTCAGGATTACTGATCAAGGACTGCAGCTGCCCACTACATAGCTGTGTCTGACTGAAATGCACCATGCTTGAGGGCCTGGCTCAATGTGTTGACTAACTGCTCACATGGTACAGGTTGGGGATTGCTGAAAATGACCACCTGGCTGCCTGACATGATAAGGGGCAGCCTGAGTGAGTCACAGGCCAGCCTATCCACAGCAAGATCCATGTAGCTACCTGACTATGGCTGTATGTGATTACAGACCACCTGCTCTGATAAGACCCCATGCTTCTCGGAGGGACCTAGACATCACAAGACACTGACTGACTCGACCCACGGTGGGGATGAGCTACTTGAGAAATGACCGATCATGTGTGAGAATCCAGCATGACTTGACTATAGCCATCTTGGTCTTAACCATCCTCTTGCTTGGCGGATGACCCCGGAATGGCTTCCAAACCCTATAAGATAAGGAAAGTAATTAAGGTAAGTCAGATGAACATTACATGCTGGCTACTGATTTTTTTTTTGTCTTTTTCGTTTTTATTGGTACCAGGGATCCGTGACCGCACACTTGCAAGGCAGGCACTAATGCCGCTGAGCTAAATCCCCAGCCCCTGGATACTGATTTTGACATTTGATATATTAATAGTTTGATTTTTTTTTTTGTCTTTTTCCTTTTTATCGGTACCGGGAATCGAACTCATGACTGCCTGCTTGCAAGGCAGGCGCTTATGCCTCTGAGCTAAATCCCCAGCCCCCAATAGTTTGATTTTTGAAAAAGCACATGTATATTCTGGTCAGCCACCCCATTTTTGTCTAGTTTAACAAAATAAACTCCTTCCTCGTGTCTTTGAGGTGTGGGAATTCTGTCTTGATGCCACTCAAGACCTGCTTCTGTTTTTTTTGTTTTGTTTGTACCGGGGATCAAACTCAGGACCACGGGCTTGTAAAGCAGGCTTATGTTGCTGAGTTAAATCCCTGGCGCTCTTCTTCTGCCTTTAATACACTTTTTTTTTTTAAAGTAGGACAATTTATTGGAAAAAGGAATGAGGAATATCTCTTGAGAGTTTTTGTTTGTGTTTGTTTTTGTACCAGGAATCAAACCCAGGACTTTGTGCTTACTAGACAGGTACTTAATGCCGCTGAGCTATATCCCCAGAGCTCCCGAGAGACAGGAGGGATCCCAAATGATTTGCTTTTCATTTCACTTTGCAAAATCATAGGATTTGGGCTGGGGATTTAGCTCAGTGGCATAAGCGCCTGCCTTGCAAGCAGGCAGTCATGAGTTCGATCCCCGGTACCGGTAAAAACGAAAAAGACAAAAAAAAAAAAAAAAAAAAAAAATCATGGGATTTGTCCAACCATTGCTTCGGCCTTGCCACCTTTCATCTTTGACAGCCAGTTTTGGTGCTCAGACTTTTCCTACACCACGGGTGACCCACTGACAGATGGCCAGGAGGTTTTATTGTGTTTCTGGTTGCTGAGATTATTTGCTCTGAAGGCCTAGATGGGTGTGTAGTGAGCAGAAACTTGAGGGGACCTGACAGGGCCATCATCTGACAGGGCTATATTAGAAGCCGACAATGACAGCTTGTCCTGACTTAATCCCAATCTGCTTGAGGGCATGGCTGAATGCTGCAATTTATGAGACATTTCTTTCACGATGGAGCACAACTGGTCCCATGGCGAGGGCAGATGAAGAGAAATGTTTGACTAGCTGACAGTGAGGGAATGGCAAGGTGGCTGGCTAATGACACTATGTCTCCCTGAAGACAAGGACAGAGTATAAGTGGATGCTATTACTGACTGACCGACAGTGTGAATAGGGAGTTGGAGGTTTGAAAGGACACCTGTCTGGAATTATTCATTTCCTGATTTGTACGAGTGCTCAACAGGGCAAGAAGCTATATACAACGCTAGTCCATCCTGGGAGTCACGGCCTGCTTGGGGTTAAAATGTGATGACGGACTGACTGACTGAGATAATTGGGGGTCTGACAGGACGGAGGATACCCCCTACGACCGTCTGAGAACGTGATTGGCTACCAGTGTGACAGACAGAGCGTGCGTAGAGGCAGGGCCTCGGGCAACCTCAACCGCCTCCGCCTCCGCCTCCGCCTCCGCCTCCGCCACCTCCACCGCCACCGCCTAGAAGCACTCTGGGAAAGTGTGGTGAACACAGTCTCCGGGACCGGGCCGGTGGCGGGGAGGAGTCTAATCAAGGCCTGCCGGTTGGCCCGCCCAGCCACTGCAGGCTGCAAGGCGCGGCCAATAGGCTATGCGATCCCGGGCACGCCCGCACGAGCTCTCTTCTCGCGAGGCCTGCTAGACCCGAATGTCGTTAGCCGTGGGGAAAGATGGCGGAAAATTTAAAAGGTGAAGCAGTGGCGGTATAGGCACGGGCCCGCTGGCTGGGTCGGGTGGGCTGGCGGGGTGGTGTCGCGGGCTCAGGGCCCCGGCGTCCGAGGCCCCAGAGCTGGGAGCCGGACCCTCGGGGTGGAAAGGATAGGGCTCGCGGAGCGCGGGCCCAGCGCGCTGGGTTGGGCGGGGCTGAGAGGAGGGGGCGCGCGCCTTATAATGCGGTGGGCGCAGGGCTAAGTGGGGACACGGGAGGGGGACGCGCGCTGCAGATCGCTACCGGATCGGCGCGCGCACGCGCGGGGAGTACGGGGATGCCGAGGCTGCGTGCGCGGGAAAAACCGGCTCCTGGTGACCGTTACCCTTTCAGTGTCCACGCGAGACGCCGGAAGGGGAAGGAAGAGGGAACAGACCCACTCCTTAGAGTGGGTGGATAGGTGACTCTCGAGGGGGACAGGGTATTACCGCTCACCAACATGAGGGAGGAATATGAAGTAGGTTCCCCCAAAAGAGGGGAACAGGGCCTCTGATGGCAGAGCTGGACTCCCCCATGTGCAGAGAAAGGGATGGCTCTGTCGTGAAGCTAAGCCGCGAAAAGAGTAGATTCCACAAGTGTGAAAGGGACTCCAAGGACCAGGAGAGTCCAGCTGTTGTCAGCACAGAGCCAGCAGCCCGGGCCGTTGGGACCACGCCTGTGGGATTTCAGATGCAAGTTAAGGCTTGGGCAGGGAGAGGCATCCTAGGGAGAAGGAAGCACAGGCGCAGGCTCATCGGACCTTGCCCAACGTACCAGGGAGCTTTAATTTTGTAAAGCTCCTCCTTGTTTAGCTTGACATCTAGGGCATCACATCATGAATTTAAGTAAGCTTGATCTTTGTAGTGGGAAGTAGAGAATATCGAACATTTCTAAAAAGATAAAATAGGATGTGGGCTGGGTACATTTGAAATCCAGTGTTTTGTGACATGGTTTGATAAAATGGCTTCTAAAGCACATTAATGAAAGACATGCCTTGAATAAGAAATATTTATTTTTAAATCTATGTCTTGAAATTTTTTGGTGGCTTCAGAAACATTCTAGGTATACTTAAAAGAATTAATGTCACAAATCCATTCTGCTTTGTGTATTCCTGAATTCAGAACATAGCCCTTTAGATGATCTCTAGCCTTCACAGAAATGTGGCTGAGACAGAGTGTCAAAATGCAGCAGAGGGGAAAAAATTTTACCTTGTTGGGTTAAGATGCTCCAGACAAATCATTCAAAGGAACCTTTCTGAAATGTGTATCATTTCACAATCCTTACTTACAATTCCAAAATCTAAAAAGTCCTGAAAACTGAAATCTCATTCTTAAATTTGGCACCATTCATGCAAAAGAAGATATTAAAAAGTGGGACTATGCAATGAGCTTATCTTACATTTCTATTTAATGTGGGAAATTAGTGCTTTTGCTGCAGAAATATTCACGTGTTTGATTATAGCTTGATGTCCCTCATCATGATTGGAGGGTTTAGTTTAATGTATGTTTCCAAGTTGTACTTGTAAAATCCCTCAATTTTGAGTTCTAAAACATGCCTGGCCCTGGGAGTTTCAGACAGGGAATTGAAGACCAGTCTTTCCAGTTACTCCTTTGTTTGGTGCCCTCGAGGTTTTAATCCTGTCCCCAACCCCCTCAGGCCAATACACCCTACCTAGGTGGGGGTTGGTCTCTTTCTTTTGCAAAGTGGAATGAGCAGGTCTTGAACCTGAGGCAGGTTTACTGGCAGTTTTAGGGATGGGGCAGAGGGAGTTAGAGGTTCTGGGAATAGATTCCTTTAGGACCGACCATCCATGAAACAAACCCCACTTAAAGCCTGCTGCTCCAAAGGAAGCCTTTGACACAGAACAAGGGTTTGAGGAGATAACACGAAAATCTCAGCATTGGGGGAAGACCTGTGGACTAAGTTTCCCTGACACTTAGGCTGACTTTGGGGTGTCCTAGAGAAGATTTGGGGTCCCATTTGGCCCCTAAGCTGGTCAGGCTGCCCAGTAATGGCTCACTCCGGCCCCCTTGTTCCAGGCTGCAGTGTATGTTGCAAGTCCTCTTGGAATCAGCTGCAGGACTTGTGCCGCCTGGCCAGGCTCTCCTGCCCTGCTCTTGGCATCTCTAAGAGGAACCTCTATGACTTTGAAGTTGAGTACCTCTGCGATTACAAGAAAATTCGCGTAAGTCTGGATTGATCCATGCCCTGGGATGGGGCAGGTCTCAAGGGATTTGGCCTCTTGCCCCACCCTTGCTGCCCATACCTGTTTCCAAAGGGGGTTTTCTCCTCTGATCCTTCCTGAAAAAAAATAGGATGAACAGATTTGGTTATCCCCATTTTATAGGTGGTAAGACTAACTGGGTTTCTTAGGGGATCAGGAGCCAAATGAAGCCCCAAATGTCTCTCTCTTCCTACCTCCCTGGAAATACAAACTGGTTACAGAGATTTAGCACCAGAAACCTGGAGTAGAGACAAGAATAGGTATTGTTACTAATTGTGTAACTATTGTTATGGTTATTTCCTCTCAGGAACTCATTTAACACTCCTGCCCCACCCACCCCCACAATACTTTACTGTGAAATGGCAACAGTTACCTTTGCCAGAAGATGTAACACAAAGTCAGTTATAAACATGCTTGGGTTTAAACCGGGTCTGTGTAAGCAGAGCCCCCTTAAACTCAAAACATTTTTCATCATCTGTGAAATGAGGAGAGCTAGTATGTAACTCATATAAATTTGGGAGTAACTTTGTTACCAGCACATAGGAGTGCTTAAACTGTTAGTATGTAACTCATATAAATTTAGGAGTAACTTTGTTACCAGCACATAGGAGTGCTTAAACTGTTTCATGATGAATGCTAGGAAAATGTTAATGGAGTCTTTGTTACCAATGGAAATTGAGACCCAGAGAAGTTAACTAACTTGTTTAAGGCAACACAGCCAGGGAGCTCCAAATGGAGGATTTGTACCCAGGTGTGTAACTTTAGAATTTGTGCTATGAAACTGTCCCATTGCTGCCTTCCAGCAGTAAAAGCTCCCTCTGGCTGTCGTGCAGGGAATAGAAAGGGCCAAGGCAAGGGGGACCAGTGAAGAGGCTCCTGCCAGGGCCTACTGCAGCCTAAGTGGTGGCAGTGAAAATGGTGGGGTGATTCGAAAAGGTCAAATCCTGGATGTGTCTGGAAGGTGGGGCTAACAGAGTGTGCCACGGCTGAATGTGGGGAGTGTGAGCAGAAGATGAGTGAAAGGTGACTCTGGAGTGTGAGCTGGATTAGTGCAGATGCTGGAGGAGGAAGGAGGGAGTATGCTTGAGAGATGAAATGAAAAGCAGAAATTGGAGGGACAATAAGGGGGAGGGTGTGAGTTGAGCCTAGGAATCCTGTCTCTAGAGCCTATGGTTTCTAAACATTCCAGAAAAGGAGTAGGGCAAAGTGGAGATTCTTCATTGGCCCAAGAATCTCATCATTTATGACACCCTCATTCCCCTGCCTCCCAACAGGAACAAGAGTATTACCTGGTAAAGTGGCGTGGATACCCTGACTCAGAGAGCACCTGGGAGCCACGGCAGAATCTCAAGTGTGTGCGCATTCTCAAGCAGTTCCACAAGGACTTAGAAAGAGAGCTGCTCCGGCGATACCACCGGTCAAAGCCGCCCCGGCACCTGGACCCAAGCTTGGCTAATTACCTGGTGCAGAAGGCCAAGCAGAGGCGGGCACTTCAGCGCTGGGAGCAGGAGCTCAATGCCAAGCGCAGCCACCTGGGACGCATCACTGTGGAGAACGAGGTGGACCTGGATGGCCCCCCACGGGCATTCATGTACATCAATGAGTACCGAGTTGGTGAGGGCATCACTCTCAACCAGGTGGCTGTGGGCTGCGAGTGCCAGGACTGTCTGTGGGCACCCACTGGAGGCTGTTGCCCTGGAGCGTCCCTGCACAAGTTTGCCTACAATGACCAGGGCCAAGTGCGGCTGCGAGCTGGGCTGCCCATCTACGAGTGCAACTCCCGCTGCCGCTGTGGCTATGACTGCCCCAATCGCGTAGTACAGAAGGGCATCCGCTATGACCTCTGCATCTTCCGCACAGATGATGGGCGCGGCTGGGGTGTCCGTACACTTGAGAAGATCCGCAAGAACAGCTTTGTCATGGAATACGTGGGAGAGGTAGGGAGACAAGACCTAGCGTGTCGTGCAGCTATCCTCACTGGGTATGCCCAGCTTCTACCCTGTGTGCCCAAAACTCCTGTGATTTCGTTGTAGAAGTCTGGGTTGTTAGTCTGAGTGGCATAGGGATCTCCTGGCAGAGGCTACAATTCCAGGCTGGAACACACCAGCACAAACATGCTGGTGGCTAAAAGGACACTAAAGTACTTCTGGACAGGAGTGGCCGCCTAAAGGTCCCTAGCAAAGAAGGAAAGTAGGAATTGAGATCTAAACAGCAGTCCTTTCAGAGGTCACGTGGTCAGAGCACAGGGTTGTAGCACCTAAAAAAGCCCTTCCCTTACCTTCTCAGGGCCATCTTACACAATTAGTACCTGCACCAAGGGAGGATCATTCATGGTGTGCAGTAGACATAGGCCTGCTTGGACTGAGGTTGCCTACTTCCTCTAGCCTTTCAGGTGACCCAGGAGAAGGGCTGGGCGAATGAGGGAGGCCTCCACTGTAATGAATGAGACACTACATCCTAGTGACTGCACAGGCTGGAGTTTGTGTGCTCATGACCAGTCTAGTGTGGGTGTTCAGGCAGTCATCCCTTCACAGTGTCTGTGATACCATGTTCTCTCCCCTCTTGTGCCTTTCCTGTGCTTTAGAGCCTCAGAATTGCCACCACATCCTCAGCATTCCCTGGCAGGCAGGCTGAGTAGAGGACCAAAAGGGAGGGTGCTAATGGGTCAGGTCTGAGTACAGCATACGTCACTTCTGCCCACACTCTTGTTGGCTGGCACTGAGTCACTGGCCTTTACTGCAGTGCCAGTGGAGCGGGGGTGATTTAGCTGTGTGCTCAGGTGCAAAACAGAAGAGGTTGAGTGAGTAAGTAGCAAATGTCTGCAACAAAGTGTGTCACATCTAAGGTGGGATGTGGCAGGCATTTGGAGTAGAGCAGTTCTCTTTTATGTAGAATCAGCTCATGCCATAGGAGACATTTACCATCCATAGACCATGACCACTTAAATCCATGAATGTGCCACATTCTTGGTAACAATCTCAGATACCTCTACATAGTTCCACAGGTTTCTTGGGGGGGGTGATATGGTTGGGAAGTGATGAAGAGTGTCATTGCCCACACTGTAGCAATGGCATTGATGACAAGGAGAGGCACCCTCTCTTGAGTAGAAAGGAATAAACGCCAGAAGGGCAGGCCCAGTTTTGAGACCACAGAGTCTGTACCACAGAGGACTAGCAGTCTGGATGAAAGGATGGCCACACCCTGGGTGGGCTGCCAGAGGACACATCCCCATGCCACAGAGCCAGCTAGTCTGGAAGAAGGAAGTTTCCACACTCAGAGGGTTCCTGACAGCAGCAGGAGAAGGGATCCTGAGGAACTTTAGGGAGAGATGTCCCCATCTCAGAGTGACCCAAGGACTTAGAGAAAAAGCTCAAGCTCTCTGCACTCCAGAGGACCCTAACTTAGGAAGTATCCACACTCACACCATCCTGGGGGGTCAGGAAAAAGAAATGTCCTCACCCCCAGCGGGATCCACAGATTCTGGAGACAGTCTTTATACCTTTGAGCACTCTGGCAGGCTGTAGGAAGTGGCCAGACCTCAGAAGGACCACTAACTATGGAGAGGATAATGTGTTGTGACCTGAGAGCCCCGACATTCTGGAGGGGAAGGTGTCCAGGCCCCCTGAGATCCTGGAACTCCTAGAGGCCATCCCAAGCAGGAAGTACAACCTCATTGTCCTTATGTCTAAAGATGTGGCCATCCTCAGAGCCCATAGGCAGCCTCAGAGTTCTGGGTTTAATGTCCATACTTCTGCATGCTGGAAATGGGTTCCAGGGGCCCTCTCACCCCTTCCTCAGTATCCCCACTCTCCATGCTGTTTCTTGGCCCTCCTGTTGCCATATATGGTGGCTTCTAGGCATCCCTCTGGCTCCCTTAGACCCATGGGTCCTCCTGATGCACTACAGGTCTCTAAACACTACTGAACCAAACTCATCTTCCCTTGGCTTTTGAGGAGCCAGCAATAGGGTGGGCCCTGTATCCTGCCTGCCAGAGCTTGTAGCCCAGTGCTAACACTCAGCAGCAATCACCGCACCTCTCTCTGTCTCCATTTCCTCATCTGGAAAATGGAAGCAATAACAGCACCTGCCTCCTAAGCTAGTCAGAAGCATGTATTCTGTGGGAAATACGCGGAAGAAGCACTTGAACAGTGGTCAGTACACAGTAAGTCTCAGGTAAGTGCTAACCATTACTGTCCAAAAGTCAGAAAATCTAAATGCTCAAAAAGTGAAAGGTTTTTTTATTACCCATCTGTTCACAGACCCCATCCTGACCAGACAAAGAGATATTTATAGTCCTTATTGTCCTACTTAGGGTGACTATTCATATGTTTCATATCAGAAATACTAACTTGATTATATGGTGCTGTCCCATGTTTTCAAGTTGTTACGTATTTTCAGGACATAATCCCCATATCTGGATGCTACACTGTCTTTCCCCCCTGGGGACACTGACCATCTTTTTATTTTTTTTTTGATCCTGACAATCTACAGTGACAGTTCCTGCCATGTATGTAACCCTTTGCTTCTTCTAACCCTTTCACATTTGAACTTTCACATTTCTGCAGAACACTTCCACCTCACCCAGCAGAAAATACTGGCCTACTTTATCCATTCCAAACCACATGTTCTCTTCACATTTTAACATCTCTGAAATGAAGGGGATTTTAATTGATGTTCTTAGGTGGTAATATATTTAATTAACAGTTTTCCCTTTCTTGGTAATGGGTACAATACGGTAAGGGTGCACCTCAGATTTCTACAAGATCCAACACAACCCCTCAATACATTGCTCTGTTCCTAACAAAAACAAGAACACTTTCTACATCAATGATCTTAGGATTTTACAACAGCCCCTGTGAGGTTAGACTTCTGTCACTGTTATGCCCATTCTGCAGATGAGAAAACAGAAACCCAAAGCCATGTAGTAACATGCTAAGTCACAAAGATAGTAAAGTGGATTTTTTTAAAAGCCCAAGTGTCTACAATTGGTGCTCTGCCAGGCCTATTGGCCTTTTTATTTTTGGCTGGGGAAATAGACACAGAGAAGGAACATTCAGGATCTCACATCCTGGAGCAGGCAGACTGGCAGCTACCCTCAGGGTTCTAGCTCCTGTTCCTGTGCTGCCAGCTCCTGGGCTGGCTGGCCTTCCCACCAGTAGCAGCGCTGTACGGCCCAGGGATTCAGGATGAACCACCCATCTCAGAGTGGGGCTGAAAGGAAGGCAAAAGGGAAGAAACTGTGCCCTGGAGGGCTTGAGGGATGATTCACTCCTGGTGAGACTGAGGAAGCAGGTAGGGGCAGGACAGACAGGAAGATGGAGCGGGAGGAAGTGGGCCTACCCCTGGCATGGGGAGGGACTCCAATTAGAAAGATGGCTCAGATTTGAGTCATCATGCTAGTGAGTGGGAGCTGCTGCTCTTTGATCCCAAGCTTCTGAGGTGGGCTGAGAAGGCAGAGGCTCAGAGCGAACACCACAGGATAGTGCATATTGTCCAAGAGCTAGAGGGAGACTGGCCACCTCGCCACTCAGCATGCTCCTATGGCTCTTGTTGCATCCCCAGGAGAGGGCCTCCACTCTAGCCAGTGGCCTACGATGACTTCCACCTCACTTTAGACACTATATCTCTTTTGTATTCCCCCTTGGATTCCTTCTAAGCATTGTGTTTTCTGATCAGCATCTTGCACTGTGGGTGTCTGACTCCATCTTCGACATCTCTATGACCCTTGAGGGTAAGGGCCAGGCCTGTCCTGTCTGTCTCCCCATCGAACTGTGATCCCTGCAAGTTGAGACCAGGCAAAAGGTAGGCCTCAATCAAGACATCCACAGAATGGGATGGGGTTGTGTAGCTCAGTGGCAAAACATGTGTTTAGCATGTGTGAGGCCCTGGGTTCCATTCCCCTCACTACAAAAGCAAGCAGGTTTACCAAATGAATAAACAAACAAATCAGGTATGGAGGAGCCATGCCCCTCCAGGACTGTAGGTAAAGTAGTAAGCAGTATGGCCCAAGGGTAAATCTGGGTTCTATAAAGGTACTGCTGATCAGTAGCCAGCACAGAGCACAGGCTGGAGGTGATGGCATAAGATAGAGGCAGGTGGGAACCTGTGTTCCCTTCTGAGGAAAGCTCACAGAGTACTCAAGCCTGGAAAGGGATAGATATGTAAAGTGAGGAGTATGGTTCTAGGGCCAGAGGGGGACATCCTGGGTAGTTCTTGGGTTTATATCCATTGTAGGGGAGGTTGGAGGCTGGGCTGTGCAGCAGAGGGGACAGGGAAGGAGGAATGGGTGTGAGAGACGATGAGTGTTGAAGCTTCCTAGAGGACACCAGCGGACTGAGGCCAGGTCTCTAGGCTGGAGGAATAGAAAGTTCAGCATTGCTGTGGACTGCGCCATTCTGGCACTTGTCTCTGAGGGCTTGACAAAGAGGCAGAAAAAAACCCAGGAGTGGGGGCATCCCGGGTTAGGAGGAAGCAGTCTTTTGTACAGTGGGACTTTCACCCAGAGAAGGGTATGGTCAGCCACAGTTGGGTATTGCCAGAGGCTATATTCATTGGTCCTGGAGAAAGGAGATACCGGGCCAGAAGAGAGATTTGTGGGGTAGAATCCATCATCAGCATTTTGGGTATAAGGACAGGCCATGGATGGGAGGTGGAGCAGCTCCACATTTATTAGGGGGAGGGGCATGGGAGGTGTCTAGTCGGTCAGGTGTGGTGTGGTACTGAGAGGGGTCCTCTCTCCTTTGGTTTCCCTTCTTTCATTCATATTCCTCCTCTGTTCTACCTTTCTCTATCATTCCATCTCTTAAGCTTTGGCCTCTGCCCCTTTCTGGCCATCTCAGACTCTCAGGGTTCGTGGCCTTGACCTTTTCCCAGAGAACTTGGCCTTTACTCTGAACTGCACTTTCGTACCAAGATTCTGTGTTTCCAACCTGGCCTCTGCCTCCAGTCCCCTTCCCTGAGTCTCTGCCCCATTGCCTCTCCTTCCCCACCATCCCAGGTCTCATGCTCCTTGTCTAAGTCCTGGCTGTGCTGGGACTTGTGCTGGCTGCAGCCCTCTTGGCCCTGGCTCAGCTTTTCCCTGTCTTCCTCCTAGTTGTGCCCTGGTCTCATTCTTTCTTGCCATTCCTCAAGCCCTCTGTCTCTGTCTCTCTTTCCCTTTCTGCTCTGTGCTGAAGGCACAGGGGGTTGTGGAACATCAGGACATTTCAGGCAGTCTCGGGGGGCAGCGAAAAATGCCCTTTTTATTATAACTACACCTGGTGACCAGCTTCCTACCACGGCAAGACTCCTGCCATCCAGAGGCCTTAGGAGGGAGAGAATGGTGGAGAGCAGTCACCTGAAAAGGCTGTCAGGCTATCAGCATTGCTGTCCCTATATGTCCATGGGGCATAGGTGCCTCCTGCTCTTCCCTGGGGGCAGACCAGGGTTTGAAGCAGTGCTGGCTTTCTGGAGCCTTGGTGACCAGACCCCCACTCCTTTTCCCAGATCATTACCTCAGAGGAGGCAGAACGGCGGGGCCAGATCTACGACCGCCAAGGTGCCACCTACCTCTTCGACCTGGACTATGTGGAGGATGTGTATACTGTGGATGCCGCATATTATGGCAACATCTCTCACTTTGTCAACCATAGTGTGGGTACCCCTGGCAGGTGGGCAGGGGGTTGGAAGGAACAGGTCAAAGCCCCTCCTCACTATTCTATTGTGTTTTTTGTTGTTGTTGCCTAGTGTGACCCCAACCTGCAGGTGTACAATGTCTTCATAGACAACCTTGATGAGAGGCTACCCCGCATCGCTTTCTTTGCCACAAGAACCATCCGGGCAGGCGAGGAGCTCACCTTTGATTACAACATGCAAGGTGGGGGTGGCAAGGGTCCAGAAACAGGGACAAATAGTGATGTGGGATGTGAGATCCCCATGCCAAGGCACCCTGGTCACTCAGAGAACCAAGGGAAATTCTTTAGCTGGAGCTTTTAGATGCTCCCCCCAGCTCCAGAACCCCAACCCTGAGTCAATCTCACAGGACTCAAGGAGGTAGGGGTTTGGCTGGAGAGAGAAAGCCCTCTTGGTTCCATCTAGACTGAAATGTACCAGCCCTTCCTCCCTCCAGCTCCCTTTGGCTTCTCACTCCTGGAGTCCCCACCCAGTGCCTTCCCTGACTAATCAGTTGCCTCTCAGACACTCAGGTGGATCTCATGCTGAGAGTTCAGCTGTACCTCTGGTTACCCAGGGGGCCCTCTATTTCTGACCCCCACTTGACCTAACCCTTCTGGTTCCCTGCCAGCCCCCACCTCTCCCAAGAACCCTCAGCCTGTGGTCTGACTGCCCTTCCCGGGATGCACGCTGCCCTAGCCCCAAAGCCCCATCCCTGAGATTCCTCACTCAGATCCCAGCCTCTAAGATCTGAGTCTCCTGGTATAAAGGGTGGCAGGATACTTCATCCAGGTCTTCTAATGAGTCCTTTCCCTCTCTTTCCTTCCCCATCCCGGCTGTGACTCCACAGTGGACCCCGTGGACATGGAAAGCACTCGCATGGATTCCAATTTTGGCTTGGCTGGGCTCCCTGGCTCCCCTAAGAAGCGGGTCCGTATCGAATGCAAGTGTGGGACTGAGTCCTGCCGCAAATACCTCTTCTAGTTCTGAGAAGTCTGAGGCCAAACTGACTGAGGGCGCCTGAAGTCACCCACCCTCCCTCACTGCTGCCCTCCTGTTGGGGAATGATCGCAGGTCCTCTTACCTGCCCCCACCTGCTCCGCCTGCTCTATGGTCAGGGCTCTGTTGAGGACTGACTCCAGCAGTCCTTGTATGTGTTCCAGCCCCTCCATGGGTTGCACTTACAAACCCTCACCCACCTTCAGAGTACATCAGTCACATCAAGATTTTCTGCAGTTAGGGTTGGGGCTTACTGTGGAGGTCTAAGGGTGGAGACCCAGCCCAGGGCCAGAATAAAAAGATGTTTGTTTTTGTACTTGCTTCTGCCTGTAGCCTGAAGCCCCTGCTGCAGGCCTCCTCCCCTCCACCACAGGGCAGGCAGACATCCCAGGGGAGCATTCCAGCCTCCCAGCTGCAGCAAAAATGATGGAAAAGGGAGTACACTGTGGGGGACTGAGGCTGGATCTGTTCATCTCACTGGTAATGCTGGCAGTGATGGCTCTGTCAGGACTGCCCAGATGAGAGGCGGATGCCATATGCCACTGGGAGGGGGATGGGTACTTGTGGCCCACTGAGCAGTGAGTGGAAGGTGGTTCTGACCCCTCAGGAATGCCAAGGGTACTAAGAACCCTGCCCTTGGCTATAAGGACTGCTGGTGCTACTGGAGCTGGAATCGAGACCTAGATAGTTGTAGATAGCACTTAGGACAATAATGTGCATTGGTTAGAAGCTGGTGAGGTGTTTGGCTCTGGTAGAGCACCTGGTCCATATAGGTTGTCTCAGGGAGGCCTTGAAAACCACAGAGGTGGTTCCAGGAAAAGGCCCATGTGGCAGAAGGCAAAGCACTGTACAGTAAAGTCCTCAACTTAATGGAGCATTCGGCCTATGAACTTTGAAGGGTGTACTGTGTAAGATTCACTTGGTCGGACCATGAAAGAACCTGACAACAGAATGCTGGGGAAAGAGCTTACCCACTAGGATATGGGAAGGCAAGAAGGAAGCCCCTGCTGGCCAACCCCAGCCTCCAGCCCTCTGTGCTCACCCCAGGCCCACTGGTCGCAAATATGAACTGCCTTCAAATGTGCATAACATGAAGCCTCGCCCCCTGTTCCCCCAGCCCTGAAAAGTCTCTAGGAAGCCTTTCTTGATTCCCTGTGCCCAGAGTGCCCTTCTGTGAGACTGTGCGCCCTGCTAGCCAAAGCCAGATCACGTGTCTGTGTGTCCTGCCCTTGTCTCCCAGGCTGACCTTCAGACATGGGCTGAAGCTGGTTCTTCTCTTGTAAACCCCTTGGCCCTACCCAGCCTGGAATGGGCACCAATAAATTGTGTGTTGACTGAACAGACCCAGGTGTGGGGGAACGAAGGTGGGGCAGGAGGGTGAGAGGCTGGGACCTAAAGTTGCCCCTAGTGTAGTCTTCAAGCCTCAGCCATCTGACTTAATCTGTTCACTATGGGCTCTCACAGCATCCCACATTGCACTATTCCCTACAAAAACCCTGACCTAAAATAAACTTGCTTCATATATCCATGCTGACATGCAATCAAAAAGCAAACAACCCAATGCTGTCTGAATGGATAAAACATTATCTCTTGCCATAAACAAAATAGCCAAACGAGTAAATGCAGTGATGATGAAATGTGCTGATTTGGGCTGTGCCCTCCTTATTCTTAGAAGCTTTGAACTTAAAGCCTGCCAACTGCATTCAAAAGAAAACTTTCACCCAGGGAATCCCATACCCAGAGAGTTCACACAGTGTACCTAAGACACAGGCTCCCAGAGATAGCTCCTAGACCTCAGAATGTAGGTATGGACCACAAACCTCTCAGGGCCCTCATCCCCTAGGATACCTGCCTCCAGAAAGCTTGGAGCTAGCACACCTGGACACAGATCCCAGGGAACTTAGGCTTCCAAACAGCTCTCGCGTGCAGGGATGCAGCAGAAGCCACACAGGGGTCTTTACTTCTGTCTTCTGTGACACAGATGAGCAAACGCCATAGAAACCTGATGACCTGGATTGGATGTTACTTCCCAAACTATTTGGAGCCCTTACATTCTAACTGCCACCATCCAAAATGCTCCCATTTCACATGCTGGGAAAGGCCCCAAGTGGCTGAAATGTCACTGCCAGGGTGCACAATGCCCAGACATCTGAGAGATCTAACAGTCTCAATCCACCCTTAAATGAATCTATCTTTTTTAATGAGATGGCATCTCATTTTATTGACCAGGCTAAAGCAATCCACCCGTCTCAGCCTTGGGTTCAACCAATCCACTTGTCTCAGTCTACCAAGCAGCAGGACTACAGGCAAGTGCCACCATTTTTAGTTCCTTCTACAACCTCATACTTTGGACACGCTTCCAAATTGCTCAGACAATATCCTACCATCACTGAACATTCAGATACTTGACTTTAGAGATCTCATAGCCTGGAACAGACACCGATCAGAATTCATACCCTGGAAACAGATCTATATGCAGCTTAGAAACCTTTTGATTTAGACCCCCCAACAACAGTTTGTTGTTAGGACACCCTAGGGCTCCTGCAGCTATCTCATGCTTTCTAATCTACATGTCTAAAGAGCTCCCAGGTGAGAGCTTGGGAGCCTCATACCCTGAGCACACTATTAAGGTGGCTACAAAACCACACTCAGTGGAACGCTGCCCTAAGCCAACTCTCTCACCTCATGCTTGGAGATGGGTTCCTGTTAAGATGTTCTGTGCTCTATACAGATTTCCAAAACATGGCCCATAGCTTTTTAGACAACAACCTCTAACAGTTTAGAAACCTTATATCCTTGGCTTAGATCCTTAAACAGTTCAGAATCTTTCTTTTCTTTTCTTCTCTTTTTTTCTATTCCCTTCTCTTCCCTTCCCTCCCCTCCCCTTCCTTCCCTTTCCCTTCCTTTCCCTTCCAGAGAAGACACAGACTCAGAGAATTTCTAACCTGAGACAGACACAGAACAGCTGAGATATCACAAGCCGGTTACATATACTCAGACGGTGGCTCTGGCACCTTGTGACGGGACACAAACTCCTGAAGAGTTAACCTTGAGACCTGGACAGTAGACTCTCCCTGGCAGATGTGCAATGCCAAAATGCTCACAGCGGACAAACTGTAAAGGCCTCAAGACACAGACCCCCTCCAACACCCAAGAAATACCAAAAACTGGTAGCAAAACCTCAAACCCTGGAAAAGACCCCCAGAAAATCAGAGACTTTACACCCTGGGACAAAGGCTCCGCTGACTCACTGTTGGAAACATAACTCAATAGTTGAGCCTCAACACCAGAGTACAGAAACCTGAGATCTTATGCTCCCAGACACAGAGGGTGAAGCACTTTAAAGGTACTACATGGTTAAAAGCCTTCACATCTGGGAAACAAGCCTGAAGCTGCTCAGAAAAACCAATCCCAGGACAAAACCCCCACCATTACAATAGACAGGTTCAGAGTCATTGGCTCAAACCAGTTCAGAGGGGTGATCCCCTAGGCTTTAACGTCCACATATCACAGGCACCTCACATCTAAGAGAGTTAAGTAGCTCAGAGACATCAAAATCTCTGCAGAGACCACCACAGTTAAGAGATTGCTCACACCATGGCCAGGCATGGTGGTGCAAGCCTGTAATCCCAGCATTCAAGGATGAGGCAGAAACACCAACATGAGTTCTAGGCCAGCTTGGATTACATAGCAAGACAGACAAGCAAAACAAAAAAAAAAAAAAAAAGAGAGAGAGAGAAAGAAAGGAGACAAAAGAGGAAAGAGAGACTAACTGCACAGGCCTGCAGACCACCCGGAGAGTACTAATAACCTGGAAAGAGATCCACAAATAGAGCAGACTGTAGACCTCCTAAGTGTGCTATATGCCTGGAAACACATCAGAGGGCTCACGTGCAGGGTATCACATCACACAAATCAAGGAACACACACACACACACACACACACACACACACACACACACACACACAGATCAGAGACCTTCAGGCCAGGAAAACCCCAGAAAACTGATCCTAGATCTGACATCCTGCAACCAAGAGACCCCAATGAATTTGGAGAGCTGAGGTACTGTTTCCTACATCAGCAGAGACAAGAGATCTCTCTGGGCAGACTGACAGCTTGTGGAGTCCCCATGCTGGGATGGACACCAACACAGGACACAACCCCCACAGCATGTGACATAACATTGCTTTTGTACTACTACAGAAACAAACCACCAACATCTTCATCTCATAAGACAGTGCACATTTATTATCTTATATTTCCACATACCAAAAAATCTACAAAAGCCAGGCATGGTGACACATACCTGTAATCTCAGCACTTGGGATGTTTGAGGCAGGAGGATCACTGTGAGTTTGAGGCCAGCCTGGACTACATAAGTTAGTTCAAGGCTGGCCTGTAGTACATAGTGAGACCCTGCCTCCAAAAAAAAAAAAAGTCAACAAGGAGTTTGTAGTGTCAAAGTCGAGGTATTGGTCAGACTTGGTGGTGGTACACCTATAGTTCCAAATATTTGAGAGGAAGAGGCAGGATTGCTTAAGTGTAGGAGGAGTTCAAGGCCGACCCAGGAAGCACTGTGAGACCCCACCCCTTTCACTCCCCCCAAAAACAGTAAGTCTTAGAACAGAATATGTTGCATTATCTTGTTTATGTATAAATGACCAAATATAAACATTAAAGCCACAAAATAATTTTTTCTTTTTCTTTTTTCTTGTTTTTTTTTTTGAGACAAGACGCTAACTATGTAGCCCAGGGTGACCTTTAACTCACAGCTTCCTGCCTCAGCCTCCCAAATGCTGGGATTACAGGCATGTGCCACCACACCTAGTTCTAAGAATTTTTGAAATGTCAAACTGTTGGCAGGACCAAAGTTCCTTGGGGAGAATTGTTTCTGTAGGAAGCCCACTGCCCCTTTCTCCATCTTCAAAGCCAGCAGCATTTCAGCTTCAAATCCCTCGCTCTCCTCCTTTGTATCTTCTATCTCTATTTATGTTGTCATATCATCTTTTCTCCCTCTGCTTCCATCACTGGATCGCCTTCTCTGATTCTCACCTGTTTCCTTTAGATAAGGACACCTGTCATCATATCAGGCCCATCCAGCTCATCTAGGATCATTTCACTAAGTTAGGATGCTGAGCTTAATCAGAACTACAAATTAGCATGCTCACGTGTCCCAGGGATCAGGACATGGACATCTTTGGAGTACTGTACTGCAGTCACCAGAGACACAGAAAGCTCACACACCTCACCAAAGTGACATACTTCCAAATCACTCAGACACCTCCCACGCTTATAACCATCCAAAAAGAGCAGTG